TTTTACAAGGTACAGCAAGCTTCTTGCTAGAATGGCTCTACCAGTGAACCACATGATTGTAGACATAGAAAATCCAATCTTATCAACAGATCGACCATTAGAACGGAGTTCAGAAAACTAGCCAGGAATAGTATTATAAAAAGATCTTTGATTCAATCTGTCTATTCAATGCTCACTCCTTTTGCTTGGCTGATCTGTGCACACAGAGGAAGGCTTAGAGAATGTTTGGATTATCATAACCTGAGTCAGAGGGTGACTCCATTTATATCCTCCTTTGTATGTGGTATCTGCTAGAGCAAATCAAAACATGTACTGCCACCTGCTATCTAGCTAGCAATTTGGCAAATGCTTTTATCTCTTTACCAATTAGTAAGGATAATTAGGAATATTTCACTTTCAGCTGGTAAGAATGTCTTCACTGTTATACCTCAGGGCAACTGTCTCCATGACAGACAGGAACCTCGCTCATTTGGACACCCTACAGGACACCATGCTGATAATAAAATATTGATCACATCATCCTAGTTGCCTGAGTAGACGTGTGCATGCCTCTGATGGGGAAAAATATTGACATTTCAAGACCTGACAATTCAGCAGGGTTCCTACATGTCCAGGGGTCTAGATCTTATTGGGATATTCTAATGTAAAAGACCAATTTCTGCCTCTATGATGACTTAGCACTCAGGAAGAGGCACAATGCTTTTTGGGTCCCTTGGCAAATTAGAGAAAACTTGACACACACTTGAGTGTATTGTTACAACCCATTTATAAAGTAGTCCCAAGGAGCTTTTGCATGAGAAAGAAAAGTCTGTAGGTTGGCATTTTGCAAACTGTTCTGACATTCAGTCCAGAAGACGCAGCTTATCCACTCAAGGGTGCCTGAAGTATCAGTGGCAAATGAAGATGCTCTACAGAGATTTTGGAAAGTCCCGTTAGGAAAGGAGCAAGATGGTAGAGGAGTAGGAGACCTAAATATCATCAGGTCCCAGGAGTTCAGCTAGATAGTTACCAAACCATTCTGAACACCTACAAACTCAACAAGAGACCGAAGAGGAGAAAAGCAGCAATTCTAGGAACAGAAAATTGACCACTTTCTGGAAGGTAGGGTATGCAGAGAAGTGAATCTGAGGAAACATGGGAAGAGAGACTGCAGGGGAAGGGCCAGCTCCTGGCAAGTGAGAGAGCAGCAGAGCACAAAATCAGAGCATTTAGAAGTCTGCTCCACTGAGGGACATCATTCCAGAGGCTCAGGAGGGGTGGAACCCTCATGGGGAGAGTGTGGTCTCAGGCCCCGTGGGGTCACAAAAATACCAGGGGTGTCTCAGTGTGGCAGAGACTCCCAGTATCAGAGCGGGGAAGCTGGCTGCCGAGACAGAGCCAAAGAGTGGGCTCTCAGCTCGGGGTTACCTTAAACTGTGATCCGAGGCATAGTCAGGCCACTGCTCTTTGAGCTGAGATCCCACAAGTAGCAGATCCAGAGAGACCTCCTCCTTCCTCTTCCAGGAGGAGCAGCGCATGAGCACACTGCAGGAATCCAAACGGGGCATGCACTGGAGACAGGAATGCTCAGTCATAGGCCAGGTGAGCACGGACTGCAGCCAGAGACCAGGGAGACAGGAGGGATTGACTGCTTTGCTCTGAGGGCACAATGAGGAGTGGGGCCCTGAGCTCTCGGCTCCTGGCCAGAGATTGGGAGGCGGCCATTTTCATGAGCTCCAGAGTGAGGGAAAAGCAACACACAGAATGCATGGCTTTTTTCCCATGATCCTTTAGTCTTTCAAAGTTAAATTTTTAAAAATTTCATTTTTTTCTTATTCTGTTTTTTTAACTTTTTTCTTTCCTATTTTAACATTTTATAACTATTTTATCTTATCAATAACTTTTTAAAAAATCTTTTAAATTTTTCATTGTTATAGTCATATTTTATCCCTTCATTGTATTTAACCTTATTTTTTGTGTACATATAGGTTTCTTTTCACTTTAAAATTTGGGGATACAGTTTCTTCTATCAGATCAAAATATACCCTAAAATTAGTGCGTGGCTTTGTTCTAGTCTCCAGCCTGATCATATTCTACTGCCTCCTTTTTTTCTTTTTTCAACAAACATATTATCAATTCCCTTTTTAGAGCTTTTTTAAAAATTTTCATCTTTACAGTCATACAGTCATATTCCATTCCTTCATCATGTTTCCCTTATTTGTGTGTGTGTGTGTGTGTGTGTGTGTATGATTTTTTCTTTCTTTAAAATGTTGGAAGGTAGTTTCTTCTAACAGACCAGAATACACTCAATATCAAGTGGGTGACTCTGTTCTATTCACCAGTCTAATACATATATATTTTTTCTTATTTTTTACTTTTTTAAATTTCTTTTTCCCCCTTTCTTCTCCCCATGGTTTTGGGTCTCTTCTAATTTGGTTAGTGTACATTAGTCTGGGGTCTTTGCCATGCTTTTTGTATTTTATTCTCTCATTCATATATTCTTATCCAGATAAAATGAGAGGCAGAAAAACTTATGATTAAAAAAAAGAAGAAGAAAAAGAGGCACTACGAATGGCTAGGGATTTCATACAGACAGTGGTAATATGTCAGAACTAGAGTTCAGAATGATGATTATCAAGGTGTTAGCTGAGCTCGAAAAAGGCATGGAAGATATTAGAGAATCCCTTTCTGGAAAAATAAAAGCCCTCTCTGGAGAAATAAAAGAATTAAAATCTAACCTAGTTGAAATCAAAAAAGCTATTAATGAGGTGCAATCAAAAGTGGAGGCTCTTATGGTTTCCAACTCGAATCCGATAAAAACTACACACTTGACCATAAGTTAGCAAGTGACACAGCAACCTGAGATACCGATGATCTAACTGCTCTCTGATCTGCCACGCTATGAGATCAAGCCTGTATACAAGCAATATATCATCACGTGGAAGTGACCTATTGAAAATCAGACTCAAGTGGGTGGAAAAAGCACAAGATGCACAGAAAGTAGTTCAAACTCACTCAGCACCTACTCTGCTACGTTTCCCCAGCTCTTTCTTTTGAAATGTATAACCTCATGGAGAATTATGAGTGATGAAGAATAAATAAAATTCAGGAGTAGCTTATGGATAGGTCTGCACAATATTTAAGTATTAAGCAGAAGTATACTGCCATTGCAATTAAGTTCCATATAAGAGTGACAATAAAAAAACGTGTAGAAATAAATAACATAAGTGGGCTCATGTGTAATTACCTCTGGTTGTTCACTTTGTATGGTGGGAGACAGGTCTATGATGTATCTACTCTGGTTCATGGGACATGGCTAATGGTGGCTGGCTGGTTAGGGACAGAAATACAGGAGTTTGCAAGATTGGTGACAACAAGGTCTATTCAGTGTCTGGATAGATACTTACAAAACTAGCTATTTATATGAGCCCCTCATTATTCCTTGGACATTTCACTTGTGTTCAGTTTTGTTTTGTCTTTCTAAACACTGAGTTGTTCTGGTGGTGAAACAGACATGACCTTTAAGGACTTAAGAGCTTCCTAGCTTTCTTCCTAAGCTATAAGAACCACTCTACACTATACCTAGCCACTATACGTGAAATACCAAGCTATGCACAATAATTTCTCAAATCTGAGAAAAGACTACTGATCACTATAGATGTTTAGAGGGAAAAAGAACAGCTACTTTGCATGCAAACAAAGTGCTAATTCTTTTGAGCTGCAGCAAATAGCTAGCAATACCCCAGATCTTTATTCCAAATTAGAGTCCATCTGAAAAGAGAATGAGGCAATTAGGAGCACTGTCCCAAAAGGAAAGACAGATTCTACATTATAGAGAGTAAAGCTATGTAACATACTGAGTTTGCCATAAGGTATTATTAGAAATAACTATTTGAATTAATAAATTAATATAGAATTCTGAATTTCAATTCAATTCAAAAATAGTATTTGCCAAGACATACACTGGTCAACAGAATGCAAAAATAATTAAACTAATAGTTTCCTTTAGTTCTAAGAGTTTTTCAGTTTGACTGCCAATTATTAAGCAAGGAGATATTAATGAAGGCTTTAATTTAACACGTGAAACGATGATGGGAATAGCAGTAGAAATGTGAGTTATAGGGGTGCCCGTGTGGCTCAGTCGTTAAGCCTCTGCCTTCAGCTCAGGTCATGACCTCAGGGTTCCAGGATGGGGTCCCACACTGGGCTCTCTCCTCAGGGTAATCCTGCTTCTCCCTCTCCCATTCCCTCTGTTTGTGTTCCCTCTCTTGCTGTGTCTCTATCAAATAAATAAATAAAATCTTAAAAAAAAAAAAAAAGAAATGTGAGTTATAGAAGCAAGCCACTCAATGCTTATCATTTTGAATCAACAGATAGCCATTTTCAGCATTCCAGATAAAAGGTTTAGAAACTTCTTCTTATCCAACCATTTTCTAACAGATGCTTAGCATGAAGTAACACTGATTTATCATATATGTGAAAGCTCTGTGTTCACCGTCCAATACAGTAGCTATATGTAGAATTAAGACTGAAATTAATTAAAATTTAAAAATTCAATCCTCAGTCACACTAGCCAGATTTTAAACTTTGTTTTTTAATTGTGGTAAGATCTACCCTCTTAAAATTTGAAGGGTACAATACAGTATTGTTGGTCACAAGGAGAAGGAAAGATAATTCATGGGCTTAAAGTTTCCATTAAGCAAGATGAGTAAGTCCTAGAGATCTGCTGTCCGACACTGTACACTAGCCATATTTTAAGTGCATAATGAGCATGTATGCCTACTGCCTGCCATATTATATTACAGCAAGTGTCCCTTATTAGAAAGTTTTATTGGTCTCAAGTTGAACTTATATTCCTAATTAATTGAATAGGAGCAACTGCTGAATTTTAAAAGTAATTAATGGTGATCTTTTTTTCTTCAATAGTGTATTTTGTTCTACTTAATTGAATACATTCTATTCTGTTGAAAATTAATGGCTTACTTTCTCTTCTCTTTCTGGTTGTAAAACAAATGTCTTACTTTCTTCTGTTGGCAAGCGTCTCTTCATCGTTTCTGGGAGAGATCTTCATCCCATGTTTCTCTTTGCTTCCTTCAAAAGAACAACGGGGGCTTTGTGTAGGTGTTCTATTTGGACGGCCACAAATCTTATTGACCTTTCAAAGAGAAAATATGAAAAGATAGTCAGAAACCATCCTCTATCCTACCTGAGAATGTAATGTTTACTAGAGTCCAAAACAATGGCATGTTCTTACTTATCCCTCAAAAGGAACCTTTAAGTCATAAAGAAGGTTAAAAAAAAAAGATATAAAATGTTTGACAATTTTCCAGAGGGGGGATTAAATTATCTGTATAAAGTGGCAGCCATGATAAATCCATGCCTTGCATACTGATATACTGTGCATGAATACATGTATAAAATACATGAAGAAAGTATACACACAGAATGAGTCAGAGAACTATATTAATAAACTTGCTTGTTTGCATAAATAAGACTACTTAACCAAAGTAGATATTATTTATGTTTTATATTCAATTTATGACAATCACATAATTATGCTGATATTCTAAATGAAATAATTTGCTATTGAACATGCAGTCTGTTTCTAAATTAATTCTAAGAGTGGTTTTCTTAAGGTCCTTTCCTAGAATTAATAATGAATATGTTTGTGTAAAGATCTCATTTTGTAATAATTCTATATCTTCTTCCTGTATTATGAGTGTTGATATAGTTGTTTTTTAATAATTATCCAAGTGAAAAATTCATTAAAAAACTTATCCAGCAATGTATAACTTATATAATTATCATTGAAAAATAGTAATGAATTGGACATATTACCACATAAAGCGTAAAAGAGACTCACGTGATAGCTCATACATTTTAAGAGGTAGAGTACTATAATTGCAAATATATAAAAATATTGCCTAGGAATCTGGAGACTTTGATTCTTGTCCTGATTTTTTTTCCATCTTAAGCACTGAGATATTGATGACAGTAGCAGAACTTCTCTGAATTTGCCTCTCTTAGATGTAAGATGAAGACATTAGAGTAAATTATCCCAAAGTTCCCTTAAAGTTATCAATTTCTTTGATTTTCCATGCAATGAACATTAAAGGAATTATGCACTAATTTGTTTATTTAACCCATATTTATTTTGCTTCTAATATTTGCAAAGAACATGTATTAAAGTTTAGAAAAGATAGAAGATGAGAAACTGGATTTTCTCCTTAAAGGGCTGACAACTCAGGAAGAAAGAAAAAAAATTCTTCCCAGGCATCAAAATGTGAGATGTGTGTGTGTGTAAAGAGAGGGACTACCACAGTGTTGCAGACACCTGAAAGAAGGTAAAGAGTGACACCAGGGAAGGCCTCCATGGAAAAGACCACTCCACTGGGAGGAAGCTTGGAGTGTGTGTTGGGCCTGAATATGTTGAGGTTGATTGCACTTCAGCCAAATTATAAATATACAAATATCTACTGCACCCCATTCTTTTCGATGCTAAAGATGTAAACATAAATAAGGTGTGGCCCTTACACACAGTTAGGATAAAAGTCAGACATGTAAAATGGTAACTGTGATAGAACAAGACACCAGCAACCACAAGAAGCAATACTGAAACACTGAGAAAATGGACAGCTTCGCTCTGCTCGGGGTATTCAGGGAAAAGCTTCAGGAGATCATGTCTGAAGAACAAGATAAAGCATAAACTAAGAGTCTGTCAGGTGGACAAGGCAGGGAAAACTTTTAGGAGAGAGTAGAAAAGCAAAGACATATACAACTTCACAAGTTGACATAGAACAAAATATACATAAAGAAAGAAAGTGGTAGAACTAGAGGTGAGATGTAAAAATGCCATGATCTGACCTGAAAAACAAGCCAAAGATCTTGCTCCAGGAAATGGAGAACAGGAAAAGCTTCCAAGCAGGAAAATGGTAGCTTAAGATTTCCACAAGAGAAAAATCACCATGACAGCAGTGTGGAGAGAGGGAGACCAAAGAAGGTCCTTTAGCAGAACAGTGAAGAAAAGTTAGAGCCCAACGTCACAGCAGAGATGGCAAAAGAAGAATGCAGGTCTAGGAGGTACGCTGGAGAGCGAGCCAGTAGCATGGAGACTCATTAGATGTATCATGTTGTTACAAAAAACAATGATGAAAGGAAGAGGAAAAACCCTCAAGGAATAGAAGCAAGAAAACATGAAGCTGACCCAGAAAAGGGGGAAGAAAAGGTAGTTGGACTTGCAAGACAGGATTATAGAGGGTAATATATTTGAAGGGTAGGCTAGAGATAGATCTTGGAGCATTTTCAATGCCAAGCTCCGTTTTATTTATTAGACAAAAGCCTCTGATGACTTTCGAATGGAAAAGTAAAATACCAGAGTTGATATTTACTCAATGAATCTGGTGGCACTATCCGATTTGGGCTGGGAGGTAGACCTGGTAAAGGCAGGTGAATTGTTAAGGGACTCCTGCAGTGGTCCTGAGGGGTGGGGGAATGATTCTGAATGTTAAGGGTGACAGCATTTGTGAAGAAAAGATTCATGAATTACAGACACAAGAGAAGTGCAATCAACAAGGCCACATGCAGAACACTGACACCAAAGGGTATGGGAGATGTCAAGCAACAAGAAATATCATTCAAGGCTCGTGGGAACAAAGAATTGTACAAAGAGTTTGGAAGGAAGTTTGGTGGTTTCTCACAAAACCAAAATCATCCAAAGGAATTGAAAACGTATGTCCACATAAAAACCTCTACAAGGATGTTCACAGCAGTTTTATTCAGAATTGCCAAAACTTGGAAGCAACCAAGATGTCCTTCAGGAGGTGAATGGGTAAAACTGTGGTCCATCCAGACAGTGAAGTATTAGTCAACTTAAAAGAAATAAGGGGTGCCTGGGTGGCTCAGTCAATTAAGCATCTGACTCAGTTTTGGCTTAGGTCATGATCTCAGGGTTGTGGGATGAAGCCCCACATCAGGCACTGCGCTAAGTCGGGGTCTTCTTGCAATTCTCTCTCCCTCTTCTTCTGTCCCTCCCCTCTTTCTGAAATAAATAAATCTTAAAAAAAAAAAAAAGAAAGAAAGAAAAAGAAATGAGCTATGATGCCATGCAAAGACGTGGAGGGAACTTGAATGCATTTTACTAAGTAAAAAAAGCCAATCTGAAAAGGCTACAAGCTGAATGATTCCAACTATATGACATGTAGGAAAATGATAAGTGGTTGTCAGAGATCAGAGGAAATATAGGGATAGGAGGCAGAGTACAGAGGATGTTCAGGGCAGTGGAAATACTGTATATGATACTATAATGGTGGATACGTGTCATTATAAATTTGTCCAAACCTCTGGAATATACAAAATCAAGAGTGAATTCTGATGTAAGCTATAGACCTGGCTGGTAGTGATGTGATAGCTGAGGTTCATCAATTCCAACAAATGTCTGACTCTGATAGGGGATGCTGAGAATGGGGTAGGCCAAGCCTGAGTGAGGGCAGGGGATATATGGGGAATCTTGCCTTCTGCTCAGTTTAGATGTGAGCCTGAAACTGCTCTAAAAACTAAAGTGTATTAAAAAAAAATCAACAGGGCTTGGCAAATGACCAGAAGTGAGAAGTTAAAGAAGTGTAAGGCCAAGGTGTTAAAAGGCTCAAAGCGAATTTCCAAGAAGCCGAAAAATAGTGATAGTGGAGTGTAAGTAATTATTAGCACAAAGTGCTAAAATATCCTTTAATGGAAAAAAGTATCTGTTGTCAATGACTCCTAGTAGTAACAAAAACAAGGGAAGACGATATAAGTTGGTGGCAAAAATATCAACTAAGATTTTTTGTGATACTGCAGAATATTTTAAATAGAGGAGCACAGTAAGAGAGAAACAGACTGCTATCATAGCCATTGAGCTCTAGACAAGTCATGAAAGCTCTAGGAACCTCAGTTCTCTTGTCCTTGAAACGTGAGAAAATCAAAACCACTTTGTAGTACTAAGTTAAGGGACACCTTATTTCACTCTGCCTCTCCCATATTGGACTTAAGACCATATCTGCCCTTGAATATATTTCCTAGACAGTCAGATGGAAAGCTGAAAACACCAGCCTCACAAGATCCTTATTCCCATTACCATCTTTGTAATTACGTTTTTTACAAATACAGAAGAAAATGTACAAGCCATATACTTACAAGTCATCTTTGATGGTATCCAAAGGTACAGTCATATATAGCAAATTCCAACAAATACAAATAAATTTCAAATCCCTTCTATTTATTGACTCACTATCCTGGGAGCTCGACTCCACACCTCATTGAAAGTGACCTGTCACTGACACATTAGCCTGTCACCTTACCTTCCCTGGGGCTGAGCTGATTTGGGTAACCCATTTCAATACCTTCTTGCTATTGAAAAGTCCTTCACACTTACTCTGTTTTTCATCTTCGACTTAGATCCATAGTCTCCTCCTGATTTTCTCCTCCCTGCTCTCTACCATTCTCCCCTGCAATCAGTCTGAAGTGTCTCAGAAAAAAATGTTTTCCTCCTTAAGGCTGACCTACTCTTTCTTTTAAACCCCTTCTCTGGTTTCCCCATGGATCTTTTAAGTTCCCATCTCACCTTGAAATGCCTTTTAGTTGCTAACCCACTTCACTTCTCCCACCAGGAGTGAGTACTTGTTTCAGCAACTCCAAGTCCCTGGCCAACCCTCCCATTCCCACTGCAATCTTGACTCTGCATGAAGAAGCACAAACTTCTCCTAGAGCCTCCCTCTGCTCGCTCAGTCTTTCTCAAATCATCAAATTGCCATAACTTTTAGTTAATAATCTCAAAACATTTACTTATTTTTAGTTATTAAGATTTTTAAACATTTTTATTTTTTAAATTTCTTTTCAGTGTTCTAGAATTCATTGTTTATGCACCACACCCAGTGCTCCATGCAACGTGTGCCCTCCTTAATACCCACCACCAGACTCACCCAACCTCCCACCCCCGTAGAACCCCTCCAACACCCTCAGATTGTTTTTCAGAGATTTTATTTATTTATTTGAAAGAGTGAGAAAGAAAGCACAAGCCAGGGGAGGAGCTGAGGGAGAGGAAGAAGCAGACTCCCCACTGAGCAGGAAACCAAATGCTGGACTCGATCCCAGGATCCTGAGATCATGACCTCAGCCAAAAGG